ATCAGGCCTTCCCCAAGTGGCTTGCCATGTGGCTTTTTCAACTGCAGCCTGTTGTCAGTACATACTGATCAGCTGGTGGACAGTTGTCAGGCGTCATCTTCACTTTTCCCCACTGCTCAGTTTTTTTCCTTGGCCTTCAAAATGGAGCTGAAAGGAAACCCGCTGATTTTCTGTTGGAGACAGAGCGTAAGACGGAAGGGAGGGGTTTTCCTCCATAGGATAGGAATAAGTCTTAAGCCTCGACTTCTAGCTAGAAGAGTTAAGCCTTTTTTGTCAGCTATATCTTTGCTGATGAAGAAAGAGATTACAGTGTCAAAAATAAAGTCTTTAATTTATGCTGATGCACTGAGCACATTGTGTTATACCTGAATCTTGAACTGAGTGATTAATTGCCTGCCTAATATGTATAGAATTTACTTTTGAAGGGCACAATCAAATCAATTAGCGTTTACCTTTTACATTATATAATGACAAGAGTTACTTTGCATCACTTTTAAGCAGTGCATAGTTTTTTGTACATGGACCAATGAAGTAGACAAGCTTTTCACTTATTAAATGTTCCAGGCATGAACATCAATTTTAATGTGGAAGACTTTGTACATAATAAAAAGCTAACTGGGCACAAACTGTCTCAATTTAGTACTGCAGGAATTATGTGTTTAGTAGAGATTGAAGTGAAGCTCTTGCAAGAAAAAATAATCAATTGTTTACTCCTGGAGATTACAGGAAAAATTATATATTGTTAAAATAATACAGTATTTTTTAAAACAAAGACATTGTCTGTTTCCTTCCCTCAAACATAGGAATATTCATCATTTTACATTGGACCAGTGTGACAATCTGATTTGTAAATAAAAATAGCTTCTAGCATCTTTAGTTTCTTGTACACTGCTGTATCTGTGGAAGTCAGAATTCCAGTGAGCTGGTTGCTGGAGTTGGAATTAAGTGGCCTTGGATAATAATCAGCATCATTTCATATTAAGAAAGAGCAGTTAAATGAAACTACTTCTTCCCTGCTCTCTATCATGTCCATATTATATATTAATTATATATACAGATACAGATGCATGCACAAATAAACATGTTAACCTTCCACATCACATAGAAAGGGAGATGCTGCTATTGAATCAGGGAATGTCAGCCCTTCAAGGTAGACCAGACTAGGAAACCAAAGTCATGCATGCAAATACTTTTATTATCAGGTTATAGTAACAGAATCTTATAAGTCTGAATGCCCTCCCTCCCTCTTTGTGCAAACTAGGGAAGGACTTGTCTGAGACATTTTCTCAGGTTACAGTTCTGTCCCAGACCCAGGTTTCTTTTATTTGACCATTGTCTTGGTTGCGGCTCTTCCTCCAGTTCCTCAAGGTTATTCCTTCTTCCTGTTACAGGGAGTTATATTTTTCCCTATGATAGGATAAGCCAGAGTTCCATCCAATCTTTTGGATATGATAAAGATGATGAAGTGCCACCTGTACTTCTGTACTTTCCATTTTCCATGTCTTTTTGGTCAAATCAGAAACTGCCTTATCAGTCATTGTTCAGCGTCATGCCTTTTAACAGAACAGGGGACTTCTTCCTGTGTAGTTAGGGTGGAATTATTGTGTCTGTGTGTGTGTGTGTGTGTGTATAAACTATGAAGATCATACACTGAAAATACTACAGATGAACCATTATGACACATTAGCTACAGTGCAATTTAGGTCAGAACAAGGAAATGGTGTCAGTCTGTCCCTTTCCCAATTACACTCTCTTTTCAGGAGCACTAGCTTTCCCTTGAACAACTAACCATCAGCTTTCAATTAAGAATCTTATCTAGAATCAAGATGGATTCTCATTATATGTGCAAATCTTTTCTGACCTAGCAATAGCAAGTTCCATACAGATCAAATGAAACAGATCATAAGGGGCAGCCAAGCAAGCCCAAATGCTCACAATTTTGCCTAGTTGATTCCTCTCAAAGGAAGAAAAGTAGAAGCATTAAAATGATCACCGGAAATTCTACTCCGCAAACCAAAGAAATCTTAAGATATTGTGAGCACTATATCCAGGCACAGCTGAAAATTGGCCTTAATTACTAAGTTAAGCATCCAACTTATATTAATTTTTGGACAATCTTACTGGGGCGTGGAGGATGAGGAAGGTTGGGGCACTATTAAAAGCCAACATTCCAGCTACCAAGACATGAGTTATAAAAATGCTATAGTTTGTGATAGAGCATATGGTTTTGCTTACAGAAGATCCTAAGTTCAATTCTTGGCATCTCCAGGTAGGCTTGAGAAAGATTTCTGAATAATCTGGAGCTACTGCCAGTCTTCTATATACAATACTTAGCTGGCAAAACCAATACTCTGGCATAAGGCCACTTCCTTTATTTCTGTTAAATTACTCCTCCTGCTTTATTCAGAATCATAAATCATGAGGCTTTGGAATCTTTATTTTAGAGCAGTCCTGGTAAAAATGCCATCTGTGATAACATACGCATGCTTAAAAACCAAGAAGGGGCCTTGCTGCTCCAAGCTATTCTTTGTAAATCTCTGAGCATAAGAGAGTCCCCACTGATAAACCATGATCATTCTTGATTTAAACAGCTGTGCAAGTTCAGCAGTCAACCATCCTCCATCTGATATATTAGAACAATGTACCTGTCCAACAAAATATCTTTAAATACTAACCCATCAACTAAGCAGCCCAACAAATAGAAGAGTTAGGTACCGATACAGTGGGCATGCAGTGCTTTGTGCTAAGTATAATGTACAACTATGTAAGTCCCAGGCAGATGTTGGGGAGGGTGATTGATTCCCTGGCTCTCAGGGAACAGGTTTGCTCACTTCAGGCCATGGGAGCTGACTTGGATGAGCAAGCAATCAATAAAGTTCATGGGTGATGCTGATAAAATAATGGCTTCCCAGTCTGAGGATAACTCCTCTGCAGTCATGGTCCAAAAACTCAGAGAAAGGCTTACTCTTGGGAAGAGAATTCCTTGGAAGAGAGCAGATATCCACTTGCACTGATGGTACCTTGGGGGAAGGGGGCTGCTATTAATTATTGGAGAAGTAGACAGGGTGATTTGCTTTCTGGATGCAAAGACTGTAGGTAACATGTATTTGCCTCAATAGACAACAACGGTCCTACAGATGGGCATCAACTATAATGAAGAAACACTCTGCCTTCTGTGTCACAGCACCTACCCTCTTCAATGAGGTGCCCTGATATCTGTGTGGCTCCTACCCTGACAGCATTCCAGAAAGCCCTGAAGCCCTGCATGTTCTCCCAGGCCTTGTGTTAAGGTGGTGGGAGCCCCTGTTGGATATGTTTGGGGGTGAGGGTGCTGTTAGCCAGACCCGCCAGCTGTTCTTCTTTATTCCCTTTCTTAATGCTTTGTTATTATATTGTATTCTTTGTGTTTTGTTTGGTTTTATTGTACACCACGCAGAGTCAGTTTGGAGTCGGAGGTGCCTAAATTGAATCAATTAAATTAAATAAATTAAAATGTACTTTGCTGGATGTTGAATGCCAGAACCACTACGATAGCTTTCTCTGAAGTGATATTTCTCACTCACCCAATGCCAGAGCTGAACAGTTTTAAGGCAAGCATGCAACAATGCTTTGGGCAGTAGTGTTCTGGCTTGTCAGACAAGGGAGTAAAATTTGGGAAAACCAGGTTTGTACGAAGGGGCTTGACCCATAACCAAAAGAGACTTCTGGTGCTAGGGATCAAAAAGGTGAACATTACTTTTTCATGGCTGTATCTGGACTCTAGACCCTTAAGAGGCTTATTTTGTCCCTATCTTAAGGCCTTCTAATGTAAATGGTTTTCTTTTTGAAACACGTTACTATTTTAACAGTTGCCTTGTACCATTTGATATTTTTAGTTGAACTACTTTTATTTGTTTTAACTGATCATTAGTAGCCTTTTTTAAAGTAAAGGGACTGTAATTTTTAAATACATGCTTTAAATAACAGAAGATTATCATGAAATGCACATTTGCCATAGAGTGTGGAAAAAAATAATAACAGCCACCAGTATTTCCTACGAGTAAGACTTCTTTTGGAATACTGTTCTAGATTTAGTCCAGTATAACATTTGAGATATCTTCTGTATACTATTAAAAGTCTCACTGTGTTTGTTTGTCTGTTTGTACCCTCAAGTTTGCCCAAATGGTGCATTATACCACAACAATTTTTAAATAAAGGTACCTAAAATCCGCTAACTTAAAGAATGCATAAAAAATCTACGACCCGTTATTCCTCTGGAATTGAAATTTCCACGATGTTCAGGCCAGTTTTATTTGCAAAGTTGTGGCCACTGCAGCGTGATCATGATTTCCAACACTCCCTGCCAGCTTCCCACAAGCAAAGTCAATGGGGAAGCCAGCAGGAAGTTGGAAGTCGCTTCTGCTCCCGCTGCTTTTTTGCCCAGTTTATCTGTTTAGGTAAGTAAATATTGACTTATTATTGAAGTTTGTCTGCCACTACAATTATTTTTCTATTTATGATACATACTTTTCTTAGATGATCACAGGACCATCCAGCATTGGGGTAAAAAAAAATGGTCAGCTTAAAATGTAATGTTCATTCTGGTCACATCAGACTGCATTACCTCTCTCTCAAAAGATGACCCGATGGGTCACAGGGTTGTCTAGTAGTTATTAAAAACAGAAAGCATCTAAGAGGAAAAATAGTTTCAGTTAAGATATCTTAAATAGTCATTCTTCTCCCTGCCCAAGATTAATAGCATGTTTTTGAAATAAAGGCTTCATAACATGAGAGAATGTAAATGAGTTCTTGAGTGCAATCCAATATGAACAAAATACTGATTCTCACAGCAATTGGGGCAAGTTATCCCTGAAAATTGTACTTGAACTTCACAGGAAATCTTTCACTTGATCTGATCAGAAAAGAGCTGAGTTTGTTTAGAATAAAATGCTAAAAGAAATGCCAAATATTTATCCAAAGCAAATGTAACTTGAATGGAAAATATCAGTCTCAATATCCTCATCCTTAATATCATGCCTTAAGAAAATAAACTGCAAGCAGGAAATGACAAACCAACCAACCCACAAACAGCTTCCCAAAGAACATTTAACTGTACACTTCCACATGAAAAGAAATACAAATAATACCTGATAATGCAGCAAAGAGAATGCAACTTATGTCTGATAGAACTTTTATTATTATTATTATTATTGGACAGATGAACTAAAATAAGCCAACAACATAATTATATGCCAACAGCCATCTCTCTAGCACAGTGGTGGCAGACTGTGTGCCCCCTTTCTATCCTGTCTCAGGCTCCCTTTGGCGAAAAATAAGCAGTCATGGCTTTTACCACGGGGTCCTCCCCTGGCTATTTTACCTTCTGGCATTTGTTTCTAAAAATTCCAGAACTATTGTGGGTGCTTTCAAGATCCACACACTGAGGCCAGGGAGACACCTCCCTTAAGTGCACTGGAAGCCTTATTGCTACTTTAGTTGGGCCAAAACACTTTTTCTCCCCATTACAACCCAGTGAAGGGTTAGATGCAAAAGATCTGAGGGAACGAAAGGAAAAGGGTCAGCTGAAGTAAAAACAAAGGCAAATCTCAATGTTCCCCCCACTTAAGCCACTTTACATGTTAAATCACGTTTTACAACATTTTTTTTTTTTAAATGGCAGTACCACCATCTTAAGAGAGGAAGAGAGACAGATAGAAAGGAGCTTGCATTCAAGGACAAGGACTACTTCCCAAGGGGAAGAGAAGTGGGCAAAATGAAAAAAGAAACACAAAAGCAGTAGCCCAGCTCAAAAAATGTGGTTCATCTCTTAAAAACGGCACTCATAATCCATCTGATAAGGAAGAAGAGGAAACAGGAGAGAAGAAGAGGGAAGGGAAAAAACCCCCCACAGAACTGGTGCAACGTCTTGCCAAGGATGATGCATTTAACCAAAGCTCCATACAGTCCCATGTGTGTCTACATGTCCTGTGGTGGCAGCATAATTGTTTAAGCTGTCATGGCTGTGTATGTCTGTATATATATATACACATAAGCACATATACATACGCATACATCTGAGAATAGAGAGTATTTTCCTTTTTAAAAAGTGTTAGCGTTAGTTTTGTTCTGGTTGGGAAGACTCATCTCTCCTTCACGTGGTTCTGTGCTCCTGCACTGCTGCTGCTGCCGCTGCCGCCACCACTGCCATTGCCACTTCCATTACTGCTACTGCTACTGCTCCCGCTGCTGCTGCAGAGGATCTCTGTGAGGTCATCCATGATGGTTGTTTCTTTAGGGTCCACCAGATTGAACTCCCGGATGAAAAGGATGAAGTGTACGTAGAGTGTGTTCAAATGTCCATGCAATTCCAGTGCCAATGTTTCCTTGAAGTGTGACGAATAGATGTGGGCTAGCACATGGAACAGATATTTGCAAATCTTCTTCACTAGGGACTCAAATGAGTTTGGGAATTCTTTGCCTGTTGTGAAAATGAGGAAGGGGTGGGGAGAGAAAAGAGAACAGAAACCATCATCTTCAGTTGAACTTCTAAAAATATTTGTTTACTTGAAAAATCCTCCTGATGTGACTTACAAGCAATATAAACAATAAGTAGCAATTCAATAAATATTGTTTAAAACAAACAACACATTTCTAGACTTCTTCCCATGGGGCAATTGGTGGTAAGATCCTCTGGGGGAAAGAAGTCAAGTTAATTGGGCTTCTGCAAAGACTGTTACCTACCTGACTTCCTCTTCCTTCAGGGATATTTTCTACAGGGGAGGTGGTGGCAATGGCTCTAAGATTGGGAGGAGAAGAGTCCAGCTGAAGGGGCTTCAGTGGTGACGGTCCACAACTTCAGCCATAAACACCACTATTTATTTATTTATTTATTTATTTATTCAGTCATAAACACCCTATTCAGGCCACTGCACTATGTTTTTCTTCATTCAACTCTATTAGACACATATTAAGTTGATGAGCTTGCAGAAATTTTTTCTGTGCTCAAAGTGTGACTTTCTCATTTTGGAGAAGGCGATTATTTCAGCCCCCAACCATAATAACTTAAAGATTTAAGATGGAAAACATTTTTGGCCAAGTCTTTACTGAACAAGAGTTAGCTAATGTAAAAGGAGAAGTAGTAATGTGCATAAATGGAACGAGATATAAATATTTTTTTTAAGTTCATTTAATTTAAATTGGATCAAACACCAATGAATCAACATTAAGGCACATACACTTATCATTATAGAATTTTTATATGCCAAAGCCATAAAGGTCTGGCTGAATTAGGTTTTTTCTGGGAGAAAACATACCATATTTCGTAGGAAAGACATCCTCATCTGTCACTAACTTCTGCACTGAACTCATGACAAAGTCAACATATTGAGGGGCTGTACACTTGATCTTCTTTCCTCGCTCATCATACCAGTAGTATTGTCTGTGAAGAGAATGGTTAGTATGGTAATATCTATTCTGGATATTTAAGTTACCGCATAAATGGGGGAAGCTATGATAGTCAGGCTACCCTGACTATCTTGTGGTTCTCTTCCCTTCTTCCTCAGTTATCATTGAAATCAGTCAGCAAAGAATTGGAAGGTTAAAAAAAATTAACAGAAACATAATGCTTTCAAATAATTGTGTTTAAATTCTCCTCTCTTTATACATAGCCTAAAGCATACTACACAAAGCCCAAGAACCCCAGGTCTCTCAACCTGAAAAAGTAGCTCACCTCAAGCCCACTGAAGAGCAAACAATACGGCCTCAGCTGAGCAGCTAAAATTTCCAGCAAAGGTTTTAGACTACTGTTGATAGAGCTTCAGCACTCCATTATTATCAGAATGAATTTTGTGATACTAGAAACTGGTGTGAGTCCTGGTGGTGTAAGTGATAGGGCTGTAGTGTTTAGGTCAGGGATAAAGTCTCAGTAACTACCATCTATTTGTAAAGCAGTTCTATGATAGCACAGAACAGCCCTTGTTCTACTTTAAAAAGCAGATCCTGTAGGCAGGAGAGTCTCCTATAGTCCGATCTTCTCCCCATCCTATGTTTCAATTGCAGAAACACACTGAGAGGCCCAGGTCAGACTCTAGAATGCTGTTATAGAGGTGGTGACATAAGCCTTCAACAATGTAGTGTTCATAACTATTTCATCACAGGATAACTAATTTAAAGATTCACTATGGACATATGGACCCACTTCAGCTACAAATTTTAAGGGAACAGTATTATATAACTGAAAGAGAAATAAGATTTTTAAAAAAATACTTGAAAATGCAACAGCCCCCTTTTTTTTTCAAAGTTAGCAAATGGGAATATTTGCTATCTTTAGTTCCAGGCCCATTGTAAATTGAGAAAACATTTATAGATAGTTCTAAGAAATCTTAATTTAAAGAATCAGTATCCCCACTTAATACTTGAGGCAACTTTCATCATACATATTATGGATTTAAACAGATTTGCACATTGCATTGAGTTACATGGAAAGACAGTCTCTTTTTCATAAAATAAATTGAAATTCTGTAGTTACAGGCAACATTTTACAAAAATTCCAATTTAAAAATGAACTAATATATGAACATATATGTTGAATTCATCTTACTGTGAACATACCTTCCATAGTCAAATGCAGGTTTGCAGCTTATTAGTGGCACACAAAAGCAAAAGCAAACAACATAAGACTGCACAACTGAATGCAGATTTTTAAGCTCTCAGATTTATAACAGGCTGCTACATGTAAATGCAGCAAATTTTGTATAGATAACATGAGCTGTCAGGAGATGGCAGTATAACAACAGATAAATTTAGCATCTCACTTAAGAATAGATCTCATAGCTAGCACACGTCTTAAACATAAACTAAACAAAACTATATTTTATGTGTATTTTTAAATATAAATGGCAGTTCGCGGTGGTGATAATCATTGGGATTACTGCTGGGAGGGGATTTTAACCATTTCTGAGATGTGTCATCTCAATTCAAAAAGCAACTTCAAAGGAAAGATTTTCATCACAACCTTATGAGTGAAGATTCTGAACCCTTTCCATGGTATTTTTAAGAAGCATGCGCATTACATGTGAAGATGTATTTCATTCATGAGCCTTCAGGCTGGATTATTGAATTTTTAATGGAGCCAGGCTCATGTGTAAGTCTAGCACCAGCATTTGTAATTAAGTAAATATATAATGAAGTCTTACACTGTTGATGGAAAATAAATGACACATACTTAATTGTCAGAGTTGTATTACTATTGGCAGAGCTGATGCAGCGCGGTGGTTAAGATGTTGACCTAGATGCCCCTGTTTTAAGCCAGCCATGGAGGCTCACTGGGTGTCTTTGAGAGCAGTCCCACATGTCCCAGAGGTGCTTCTTGTGGCGAAAAAAAATTAGAGGATGGAGTGCTGTAAACAATGACTTAAGCTCCTGAAGAACATGGAATTTTCATAAGTTCTACAAGTGGGATTTTAAATTTAATGTTCTTCAGGTTCAAGGAATAAGCTATGCAACTCCATTCATCGTGAGGTTTATCATGTGACAATTAAATACACTTATCAATCTTGGGAGTTCAATTAGCTTCAGCCTTTAGTATTCTAAATCAACCAGCCCAACCTTGACCCCACTAGATATGTTGGCATACCTCCTAACCAGGAAGACCACTGGTAATGCTGGCTAGAAAAATATAAAGTAACAATTCTAACTGGAGGGCAACAAGCTGAAAGCAACTGATTTACATTGTTACTGTTATCACCATTATTGGGTGAGAACCTTATTGTAAGCAGCAGCATTAATTACCAATCTGCACTACCGCTAATGAGATTTTGTCGATTTCAGATCTTCTGTCTATGGAGCATGCCCTGACATCAAAATACTTCTATTTAAATAAAAACACAATACTCTCATTCTTGACAGAAAAGAAGAATTTGGCTCTTGATGAGATTTATTTTATTATAAAAAGCCATCTTCAACCAAAGTGAACAGGATGGAACTCCTCCAAATTCTAGCTGCTCTGATGGGGAGGATTATCAACATTAGTGAGTCACTAAGGAAACCATAAAACAAGACCAGGCTGCATTTCTAAAAGGGCAAGAATTCCTTTCCTAATTGTAAGATTTGTCCCTCTTGCCTAATGGTTGGAGGTCAGAGTTAGATAATATCCTTGCCCAGAGCCCTTCCTGTGTCTCATTTTCAAGATGAGATTAAAGGGGAATATTCCAAAAGCACACATATTCTGTCATAATCCCAGATAGGATGAGCATAAATGACCTTTCTTCATTTGTTCAGACTAACAAGGACAGAATATGGGAAAAATTTATCACATGCCTTTCTTTATCAACATGGATGAAGAAGTCTGGAAATCATTCCAAAACAAAGATTAAGAAACAACAGCAGTCTATGTCCCTGAGCTTGCATGTTAAGAATAAAATAGAAGTCCAAAAGAGAAGTTTCAAATGCATAAGTGGGCAACCTCTGAAGTGTCCAGGATCCAAACACTTCCTGACTTTCTGAAAGACCGTCTCTTTCTGAATATTGAAGTCTTTGAATATGAGTGAGAGGACTCTGTATTTTAGTTGGTCTGCTTTCCTAAGTGTTCTGCTGCTCTCTCTGATCTTCCACTGACCCAGCATAATTTACATATCTCCATCTTTGATAAATAGAAAAAACGCTTTTCTGTGTAGAAAAAAGTGAAACTGACAAACTGGTATCTTTATAAAAACTTAGGCTAATGCCTATCATGCTCGTCTATGTAAAGAATTCTTTCGTGTACAAACAAAACCGTTTTGTGCATGTATATGTTAACAGATATTTGCTCAGAGCACAAAAATGATATTTTGCATGCAACCATTTTCAGAAACAGGGACAGATTATGAGATGTTTTCATAGTACTCAAAAGAGGATTTAAGTTGTGTCTTATGCACTTTTAAACAGTCATGAGCTGAAGAAAATGGATTCTATATGAAAGTTTTCAAAAAGTTCAAAAGGCCAAAGAGAAAACAGTAGTAACAGCTAAGTCTTGCTTCAAACAAACAATAGAAGTGCCCATTTTAGCAAGAAGGAAACAAAAGAAGAGGTTAAAAGCTGAACTTTGACCCCTGTCTCTAGGTCAGTGTTTCTCAACCTTGGCAGCTTGAAGATGGGTGGACTTCAACTCCCAGAATTCC